GTTGGTGATTTCTGCTTGATCAACAGGAGTGGACGACCTTTCTAAATAAGGCCGACAACTTTGATGGCATTTGAACAAACCTGGCCTACTTGACAAAGTGGCGGAGCTCGCTACCGAGAAAACTTTATGGGTTTGGACCGTCTGTCGTGCTTGCCCCTGTGGCGCGGGATAGGTCCCTGGTTCAAACCCCAGCCTCGACATGCAAGAAATGTCTCCCACGCATATACTTTGGGATTCTCATACTAATAGATGGTATACCCACCCATTAAGCTTCCAATTGATTCTATCGCCGCCTTCTAACTTTCTCTGGTTGTTGAGAAATAATTTGCACGCACTCACGTACTCGCGCACACTCGAAATTATCGAATCAAAATGAGGACCTATGCGTGCTGGCGACTCAATACGGATACACGAGTGATAGCACTTCAAAGCGACGATAACTTCAGCAGATGATGTGATGTAACCTGCTTCATTGACCAATTGGCAAAACCTGTATCCAGCAAGAAAACGCCATCTCGGCGATATCTGTTCCCGCCGCCCTCTTGGCGGGGGCGATAAAGCGGAGCACCAGGTTTCGCCAACTCACCAACTTTGGCGATTCCTTGTTTCTAGGAAATTTAAGCAACTTGGCGATATGCGTGATGCGAAGACCGCCTCCATTGCCCCTCACGAAAGTATCCTTTGGGGGGTAGACACGCGATTCGCGAACCGCTAAGATTCTTCATTAGAAGCCTTTCTGCCACGTTGTTATTTTGTGAGCCTCACCAGAGAGGTTTGAAATAGTGTGTCTGATGGGACACACCGTATGTCACTGATGAGTGAATTGAACTTTCGGACTGAGGGCAATTCTCTTGCTTCCCTAGCAGCAGGCCTATCTTAGTTCGACTGACTCATCCGAGCACTGTTAGAATAACTTCTGGAGAAACAAGGAACGAGCAATCCCTGGGAGGTCCTCACCGACCCTCCAAGGGATGACTGATTCGGCGTTGTTTCGTGTTGCCAATATCATGAGAACCTAAGCCGTTCCAGATACTCGCTAGCCGTGCTTGGGAAGACATTTACGTAGCAATGTTGACTAGTTCAATACCTCTGGCAATGAATACTGTTCTTATACTTCACTTCTGATAACAAGACTAAGGCATCGATCTCATCCTTTTAGTTATTATGTCAGTGTACTCGATTTGCAAATTCGTTCACTAACTATTTACTGCTTCACATAGCACCACCTCCGATCCCAGATTGACTCGCGGTATAAGGGGTGTGTTTTCTACGCAGCTTCCGACGAAGTCTTATAACTTCATGAGTTGAGAGCTGCTCATTATTGACAAATAACCAAACACACGAACGCAGGGACTTGCTATACTTTTTGTAGTCCTCACTTGTGAGTTAAAAAAGTGGCCTCGTGGGCAATGTATTCCAAAGAGTACATGTTGCAGCAACACCGCTAGAAAGCGAATCGCTCCGTTATAACAAATAAGAGCCCAAGACTCCACGCGGAGATAAGCGTTGAGAATCTCGCGCTAGATGGCGGCGTCGGAGGGCTGGTCGGCTGTCCAAGACCGATATTGACCGCATTCAAAGCGTCCAATTCCCCCAGGTTATTCAAATTTAACCGGTTGCTCAGGGTTGCGGTACGAGACCGTGTTATAGAGTCTGTGATCCTCTGTCCACCCAAGCCCAATGCAGCCAGTAATGCAGCAACGCCGGCAACTTGAGGGGTGGCCATCGATGTACCACTGAGATAAGCATACGAGCCTAAAAGGTACGTCGAGAGTATGTTGACGCCGGGAGCAACAATGTTAACAGCAGAGCCTATGTTAGAGAAGGAGGCGATCGATACCGGTGAAGCTGTTGTCGAAGTGCTAGCGGCGACACAAAGCAAGGACGGGATCGATGGTGCATAGGAACAAGGGTATGCTGGGAACTGATCCAGATTCAGATCATCATTCCCGGCAGCAGCAACAACTATGTGTCCGAGGTCAGCAGCATTCCTGATGGCTCTCTGGAAGATGCGGCTGGAATGAGGGGAGAAGTATGAATGTGAGGAGACTGTAGCACCCATCCGGACTGCATAATCAAGAGCTTTCAAAGCGTTACGAAGGGAACCTTCGCCAGTGCTGTCCATGAACTTCAGAATCATCAATTCCACATCTGCCACTCCAGCAATACCAATACCATTGTTGGTCTGAGCCCCAGCTGCTCCAGCACAATGAGTACCGTGTCCATTGTCGTCAGTTACATCAGCGCTGTCAGTGATGAAGTTGTGCCCGATAGAACCATCGGACGGATTCTTCCAGAATTGATTGACAAGATCTGGATGAGTCATATCCACTCCGGTGTCCAGAATTGCCAATACGATCCTTCGTAAAGTTCGATTGGCCGCGCGAGCTGTTTGCCAGGCAGCTCCCATGCGCATGACCTCGAGGTTCCCCTGGCAGGAGGAGCCGGGATCGTTGGTGCCAAGAACACGATTGCCGCCAGTACAAGTGGATACTCGTGATTGCATAACCGAAGCCTCTTCAAAAACTGGCGCAATCGAGAAGTCAAAATCGGCCTCGCAAAAAACCTCGATGTCAAGGCTGTCTTCAGCCTTCTCAAAATAGTCCATTATCTGTTTGTGGCTCAGCGCACATTTGGAGTCCACTATCTGCACTCCCAGAGAAGACAAGTCATGGACCATGCCAGTCTGTGCGAGGCACTGTTCAAGCTCAAGGTCGTCTTGGCTGAGGAAGCGTGTCCTCTCACCGGCGGCAGCGGCGGCCTGTACCATCATACTCGGTACATGACGAATGTCAAGTGAGCCTCCACGATGGGAGACCATAACCAAAGTGTGATCGGAGGCGCCCTTACCGAAGCCCACAACATAGAGAAGGACCAATAAGAAGGATTCCATGAACATGAGGTCTCCTGATGATTCAATTGAGGTGAGAAAATAACTGTGCGTAAAGGATCGTTGTAACTCGTCCCATCGAATCTCTGGCCCGCGCATGCTCCTGCACGCGCGTGCAGTGCCTGCAGGATCTGCAGTGCAGGTGGCCTGTCTATTGTGGAGGCGTATCGCAACTGGCGACTCGCCATCGGTGAACCAACCGCAGCCTATGACTGTCAGTGACAGCGAGGGCACTTAATCGCATGAACGTGGTGACGTGACGTGTAGTCTCCTACAAGGACGCGCGGCGCTGGAAGTGCAGCACTCTGAACTTGATAGTAGTTCTGAAAACATTCTCGGTTGAGACACGACCATCTTCAAAAGTTTGGATCGTATGAACTTAGACTCGATGCAGTACTGGCAGAACCAGATCAAGTGATGGCAAGGCTGAACATGAGCATTGCTCGCTTAGCAATGTTCGGGGATGAGGAATGATCCAAGTAGCCATGTGCAGGCGAGTTCAGACAGCAGCGTAGGATTGTGGAATCAGTGCCACCACACGATCCAATTTGCCCGCTGCCCTCGCCTCGTTCGGCTGCGATAGCTCCTTTTCCTCCTCATGTCGAGTTCACACGTGAATCGCGCTGAGGCTTCCGCACAAGGGTGGAGTGTCTGCTCTCAGCAAAATCCCTGACTACCGTCGGCGACCTTGGGAGAAGAACTCGTGTCACGAATAGATCAGCTGGGAAGGAGCGAATCCTACTAGGCGGACCCCTCAAAGGGAAGTGAATAACGGGTCTTCCAGAGTCTGTCATCCAGAAACCCGGAATCATTGGACACTACCAACTCTCTGCGATTAGCACAACGGTGACGTGAACACCATTGACACTGATGCATCAGTGCATGAAATGCCGGAGCAACAGCATGCTAAAGAGAACTGCGCACTCCCGCAGGCCATCGACATTCTCGCAGCAATTGGTATAGAAACCCGAAGTCAAATTGATAGTTCACGAGTACGAGAAGCCAAACCCGAGTGCATCTTCGTTAGGACAAACATAGAGTAGGCTTGCTGGGCTTCAGGGATGGAATTCAAATGGGTTAATCTTGGCCGTGTTTGTGTTCCGCCTGTTATTTCACATTCTACTGTTACAAATCAACCGTGACAAGCATCATCAGAAACTGGGTAATACACTCTTATGCATACTCAGGGACATAGCCGACAATAAGGTCCTCAGCATGCCTCTCGAGCCATCTACCCTTCATGTGACACAATGTATTAGTGATGGCCCCGTACAACAGGAAGCTCGTACGCATCACTGCCGACCATAATGGGATCTGTCTACCTCTGATGCACCTGAGCATTAGAACACAGTCGCATACCTAACAGCTCCAGTGGCAGACCTTAGCACAGTAGTTGCCGACATGAATACTTCGCCCAATATAACCATCTTGTACGCCAAGAAAGGCTTGAATTCAGCGACCTGATTCGTGAACTCTATAAAAGTGATACGAGGTTTTCCCTCACCGCGCAACATGCCGTGGCATAAACTACTGAGCCAAAGGTGCTCAGAATCCGACCCGTAGTGATCAAACGACTCTGAGGTCCGAGCCGAGCTTCGAGAACTCCTACAGGTGATTATGTATAAATCAGACACAACCTCAAAATGGTGTGGTACCAAGGTCAGAACTAGTCCAGAAGACCAAAGCCAATGCATTGAACTTGATTTGGTACGGCATGGTCCTTTCAAAGACTATTGGAGCCTTCGTGATGAGACATCCAAACGCTAATATTCCAGTGAAACAGCAATACAACGCTGAGGAAAAAGCACAAGTCGAATATTTCAATGAGAGTGTCTTGGTGCTCACTGAACCAAAAAGTCGCGCTGTCTGGGCAGCCATTCTTCGCCTCCAGAAGCACCGACACGATCCCTCCCTCAGTATAACATCCTCCCGGGCCACTCGCGTATGTGCATC